TCAAACCGGGACTAAACGGCTCAGGTGAACCGGGACTAATGCCTTAGCCGCACGAACCGGGACCAATGCTCACATTAGTCCCGGTTCGTGACTAAACCGGGACTAATGTGAATATTGCCCTGTGACCAAAGCCCTGTTTTCTACTAGTGGTGGTTTCTGAAAATGAAAATGATATGGAACTGAAATGTCAACTTGTGAAATTGATTATTTTAAAATGTGTAACAATTTATTTCAAAAGAGCGAAGTATGTTATTTCAACCTCTAGCTCCAACCACGCCAAGGACAGGCAAGTCTCCCGGCCCAGAACCCTGGCGAAGGGCCGTTGTCGCAGCTGTGATTGGAACCACCGCTCCGGAGCCATTGCATCATAGATCACACCCCAGTCGAGTCCACCGTCCCCACGTTGTCACCAGAGCGTCGTCGCGTCACCTGGAGGAGCCGCTAGAGGAAGATCTCGTGTCGCGGTGTACATCCCCTTCAGGCAGCCACGCCACGATCGCGGGAGTTGAGATCTCTTCCGTCCTCTTCACCAGTGGCACACCGGCTTTCCCGGCGGCCACCTCTAGGGACAACGATGGGAGAGGGGAGTATGGAGGAGGTGGTGGTGGCGGCGGCTAGGGTCAACGCCCCAAGTTGCCCTGGAGTAGGCGGCGTGAGGAGCTCATGAGAATTTATCTTTTGTTTTAGCTCCCATCTTCCGTGAAAGGAACTTCGCGCAGATTTAAGAGGTTAAACATGTCGTGGGTAATTGCACAAAAAGGAGAGTTCCAAACAAAATAAGATGTTTACCCCTAAGAAAAGGGGCCCGCTACGCGTCCACCGGCGGATCCTTTAGAAAGATCCGCCGCCTCGCAAACTGTCCGATTGTATGGCATGAGCCGTCCGTTCCTCTTTTTTATTTTTCCGCAACATGCCCCTTGTTGCAAATCTCATTCCTGCAACAAGATCTCAGTTGCAAAATTTGTTCTTCCTTTTCGTGCAACAAGACTCTTGTTGCAAACCTAATTCCTGCAACAAGATCTCAGTTGCAAAATTTGTTCTTCTTTTTCATGCAACAAGACTCTTGTTGCAAACCTAATTCCTGCAACAAGATCTTAGTTGCAAAAACTTGGAATATCTCCAGCCACTTCTTTGTATTCTTGCAAAAGACCCTTGTTGCAAAATTTACAGTAGCATCTCTGACCTCTTCTCTATATTTCTGCAACAAACTCCTTGTTGCGATTTTATTCAACAAAGACTATATTGCAGAAAACTTCACCGCGCCCCGCCGCCATTGCAACAGCGTCGTTGTTGCAGGAACTACTGCTGCACGCAGTACCGGCGTTTGCAGAGGAAGCATCAGCCATGATTGTCCACACCGGTGCTCCTCCAAGACGGCGACGCCGGTGCTCCGGAGCAACGCCATTTGGTTTGATGTACTGAATGTAGGAGAAGAGGTTGGGAAAGGAGATGTGGATGGGGTCTGTTCGTTGGAGATAAGAAGGAAAAATAAGAGTGAGTGGTGCAGACTCACATGGGCACGTGGCGCATAGGGGAGGCGGTGGACGTTTAGCGTGGGATCTGCCGGGTGATCAGAATCTTTTCCCTTATATTTACGGGTAAATGTTTATATTTACTTTGTTATACTTTCTTTAAGAAAAGGAATTAATTTGTTATATTTAAACGTATGTTAGGGCATCTTCAATACGGACCCTCAAAACACGCGCATCCAGAACGACATATCCAAACACATTCTGTCATCCAACGTGGTATCCTACAGGTCCACAGATTAATATTCTAGATATCATCAACGTGATGACAACTCGGTGTTGTTTTTTTCGCCGGGGGAGGGAGGGGGCAGTTGCCTAGCTACACCATTTCTAATTTTCTGCTTTTTCTTTAGGCAACGCTACGCGTCGGCTGGCGGATCTTTTTAAAAGATCCGCCGCCTCACGAGCTGTAGGATTAGGCAGATTTATTGACTAAGCGTCGTTCTTTATTATTGCAACACAGGTTGTGTTGCGGAAAATCTCTGCAACATGCGTCATGTTACAGAAATTTTTGCAATATAGGTTAAGTTGCATATATTTTTTTTGCAACAGAGGTCCACTGCAAAATAATTATTTTTGCAACAAAAGCTCTGTTACAGTTTTTCCGGCAACAGAGGCCTTGTTTCAAAAAAAAATTGCAACGGATCCGACGAATTGAGCGACCGAGCGTCACCCTTTTATTATTGCAATATAGGTCATGTTGCGGGAAATTTCTGCAACACGAGTCATGTTGCAGGAATTGTTTGTTGCGCGCGGCATTGGTGGTTGTGGCTGAGCTTGAGGAGGTGGCAGCCATGGACGCCAGTGCTCCTCCGGGACGGCGGCGACGTGAAATAGTGGGCGATGACGAACATGGCTTCAACGACAGCGTGTCTCGCAGAGACGGGCTACGGCTCGGCGGTGCAGTACGGTGATCGATTACAAGAACCTTTGAAACAGCACACTGGACAACACAACCCATGCTCCCCAATTGATTCACAGGCTATCAGATCGGCTGATTGCAATGGCAAAGATAGAGCGGAGCAGTCAAGGCTGAGGAATGAGGAGCAGAGAGCCAAGCGGTGGAGAAAAATAAAGATGAACGAGGATAGACGTAGCAATGAATGGATAAGAAGGCAGAAAGGATAAGGTTGCAACTAGCATGGCACGTGGCGAGCGTACAAGGCGGTGGATGCATTGTCTGCGATCCGCCGGTGGAAGGAAAGCATTTCCCTTTTTCTTTTCTTTTTCTTTAGCGTTTTAGCTTTCCCAGATAGCGGTATTTTGTTTGGGAAGTGCCACCCTGTTGCGTGTCACCCCATGTAACTATACATGTTGTACCCCATATGCAACTGTTTTCAAAAAAGAAAAACTGTAGGCAACACCCGCACAGGTAGTGTACGGGCTGTGGGGGTGGGGATGAGGTGCTTGAGCGGCCCGGTATATGGGTTTGTTATTGATTTTTTTATTTTTCCTTTTTATACTATTTTCTTATCTCTATTTATTTTTCTGTTTTTGATTTATGTCTTATATCCTTTTCTAAATGGGAGCCGCTACGCGTCGGCCGGCGGATGTATTAGAAAACATCCGCCGCATGGAGCTCCGTTGGATCAGCGCCCTGATAGCCGTCGGATCTAACCACCGCGCGCGCGTGACCATCTCCTTACGTGTAGCGGAAATCTGTTTCCGAAAATGATGTGTTGTTGCAGGACAATCAGTTTCGGAAACTCATCAGTTTCCGTAACTGATTGTCCTGCAACAACACATCAGTTTCAGAAATAGATTTCCGTGTCCGCGGGGGAACTAGTCCTTCGGCGCAAAATCCACCGTCTTGTGAGCCATCCAATTCGATAAACCTTGTATTTCAGCAACAAGACTCTTGTTGCAAAATATCCACCTTTATAATTTTCCGTAACAAGACGTTTGTTGCAAAAACTTCTCTCTCTAATTTCGTACAACAAGACCCATGTTGCAAAACCCTTTCTTTCCTAATTTTCTGCAACAGGATCCTTGTTACAAAAATTGCAACAACATCGCGGCTAATTTTCTGCAACAAGACTCATGTTTAAAAAATTGCAACAACATCTCCAAATGCGTTCCGCACTGCACAGTCGTCGTTCGTCGCCGTTCCGCAACAACGCGGTTGTTGCAGAAACTTGTCTCAGGTCAGCGGCGAGGTTGATGTTGCAAGAGGCACAACTACCATCTCGTCCTCGGCGCTCCGGCCACCGGCGTCCGTGTGAGCCGCGAGGCCATCCCAGGGCTGGGCGACGCTGCTGCTAGAAGCTGACTTAAGGAGAGAGAGGGAGCTTGATTTTGGGAAGGAATATGTGTGCGGAGGAGAACGACGCTGAAAAAGATAAGGTTGACATGGATATGAGGTTGATTATTTTAACTGATCCAACGACGCATCAAGCGGCGGATGCAGCGCCTTAATCAGTCAGTTGATGCTAATCTTTTCCCCTAAGAAAAACATGTTAAACATGTTGTCGGCAATTGCCCAAAAAGATGGAGTTCCCGTTCCAAAATAAAAAAAATGCTAAAACGGGGTGCCCAAAAATAAAATAAAAAAGGATAGGCGCACATGTTATGTCCTGAGTTAATCTATGGACAAAATTTTGAATCTAGAAGAACAATGGAAAATTAAAACGAAATTTTGAATTTAGAAGAACAATGACAAATTAAGATTTATGTGGGTAAAGAAATATGACATCAAATGTCCCGTTCCAAAATAAAAAAATGCTAAAACGGGGTGCCCAAAAATAAAATAAAAAAGGATAGGTGCACATGTTATGTGCTGAGTTAATCTGGGGACAAAATTTTGAATCTAGAAGAACAATGGCAAATTAAAACGAACTTTTGAATTTAGAAGAACAATGAAAATTAAGATTTATGTGGGTAAAGAAATATGACATCAAATGTTCCCGTTTGAAAAAGAAAAAAAGCCAAGCGCATGTGTCATACGCGGAGGTAATCTGGTAACAATGATTTTTAACCTTGATCATTTGTTTTAGTTGCTAATCGTGCAGTGCAGCACAATAGGTCACCGTCTCACCGTTAGGTGTGCACCTTTTAAGGGCACGATTGTCCAGCCATGTGCCTCCATTATAAACAAGGTCAAGTGTCCTTAACTTGCCGATGTGGGACTAAAGCAAAGCGTCCTCTGTTCCGCGGCTGGGGCACTTGAGTTATACTAAGAAACACGTCATCTGATGCTGAGCCTGTCTGATGGTGGCACACAACTGCGCGCAATTCGTTCAGGTTTGGAGTTGGAACATGCCTAGCAGAGCTCAGCGGTCTCTATTCATACAGTGTTTCCTATTTTAGGCTCATCTTATTGGGTTTAGAGCATCTCCAGCCATTGGCCCTCAGGGGGTGCCTAAAATCGCCGCCTGGGGGCGAGCCGGCGCAAAAAAAAGACCTGGGGCGAGTTGGTCCCCAGTCGCCGGCCCAGGGCCGTCCTCTGACGCGTCTAATTTTTTCAAAAAAAAAACGTTCGGCGAAGTTCGGTTAAACACGGCTAAGTTTTGGCAAACTTTGGCATATATTAGACATGTTCGTGACGCGCTACATAGCAAATATAACTAAAAAAAGAAATCGCTGAACGCCGAGTAGTCGCCGTCGTCGCCGCCATCCTCACCGCCGCCGTCGTTGGCGGCCTTCTCCTCCTTGATGCGGCCGTCCCTGGTGGACCCTTGACCGGCGTCGCCATGGCGGACTGGTGGTGGCGGCGCGTCGTCGTCGTCGCTGTCTTCGATGACGACGACTCCTCCTTCGTCGCGGCCCTGGCAGCGCTGGTCAAACCGCCGAAGGGCGGCGCACTGGCGCTCCCTCGTCATCTTTCAGGGAGTCCTTGCGCGCCCATTCCAGGGCCGCGTCATCGTCGATCTTAACGTCGCCGTGCTCCGTCTTCACGGCGGGGAGACCCGGCTCCGTTTTCATCGGCGCGAGCCCCGGCTCCGTCTTTGGCTTGACGAAGCGCAGAGGAGCCGACGAGGAGGCACGCCGGCCGTCCTCATTGATGACGATGTCGGCGCTGCGAGTGCGCCGATCGAGCGGCGTGTCCGCCGCGGGCTCGGCCTTGATGCCGAGCAGCGCCGGAGAGCCGGAGGAGTGGGAAGAAGAGTGCGAGGAGGAAGACGAGGAGGAGTCGAACCTCCTGGGCATCCATTGCCCGGCGCGTCGGCGGTGGGCCGGGGCGGCAGCCCTCGCCGGGGGAGGGTATGCCAGCGGCGGGTTGTTGCCGCCCTCAAGGTGCGTCAGCACGCCCTCGAGCGTGCGGCCGGGGACGCCCCACCCACTACACCACAACACTGATGTAGGGACAAAAAAACTGCCGGGAGAAAGCACTTTATAGGGCAGACAAACTGCCGGGACAGGTTTTCTCCCAGCAGATAGAACCGCTACGAGAACGGCTGCCGGGGATTACTTCTCCCGGCAGATAAATTTTTCCCGGCAGTTGCATTGCCGGTGCCCATCTATTTGCCGGCAGTCCACTTTCTCCCGGCAGTTTGGTCAAGGCATGTGTAACATCAATTACCGGCAGTCTTGCTGCCTGCAGAAGCTCATTTTCCTGGCAGTTCTTATGCCAGCACATAGATTTCACTTCCTATTTTTTAGGCATCCCTTATGTAATATCCATTCATTCTGTTCAAACCATCAGTACATATCACACTTTATACATACATTTCACTCAAAGTAACATGTCTCATCCATACACTTCAATCAGAGTATTATGTAGCCCTCACCCAGAACCTTAAAGTTGATTCGATAAATTAACATAACGACAATATGTATAAGCTGGTCGCGCCACAAAAGGTACAGTACATCACGTTTCTAAATGTGTGCCACAAAAGGAGTACATATGTTTCTAGGGTGCCACACAAGCAAAATGAGCATATACTGGCTTAACAACCAGCAAAATGAGCAGAGCAAGTGTCATAATCACTCTATGAACTTAATTATAGGTTTACCAAATCTTCACTAGCTGAAGATCTTCCAAATCTCCCAACTCTTCAGCAGATTGAAGATCTTCCAAAGCTCCATCAACTCTGTAGGGAAATCTGCAACAAATAGAAAACTCAAAATGGAGCTCTCCTTTCAGATTTCAAATTAGCACATTAAAGATTTTGACATGCTTCAGTTTTTAACTCGTCGGCATAAATATAACTCTTCTAAATGTGCAGCATCTCATCATCACAGCAAGCAAGGTTACATCATTAGATCAAGCAAGATTTGTTTGAAGTACACATACACAAATCTTCATGTGCAAATAAGCAAAACAAAAACCTGTACAATGAACTTGCAAAAGATGCTTAGTCTAAAAAATACAACTTACTAGTGAAAGCTATGCCTAATTAAACCTGAGTTAAACATGTATCTCTGGAGTTAATATAGTACTCTGAGTTCGAATCTTTTTTTGCATGAGTTAAACTCGACAAATAGGCAAAACTCTATACAGTACTATATTGAACAAATAGATAAAACTGTGTACAAATAGGCAAAACTCTGTACTATAAACAATGCAGTAGTATACAAGTAGGCAAAGCTCTGTACTATACATAGTACAGTAGTACAAATAGGCAAACCTCTGTACAAATAGGTAGGGGCAGGCCATTGGTTATTGGTTTCTCTGTATCATAGGAAAAAAGAAACTGATGAAATAACCATTGGTTACAGATTTCTCTGTCTATCTCATGCATCTTAGCTTGTTTTTAATAGAGTTCATTGAAGAGAATACCCTCTAGCAGACTAGCAAGCCAAAACTGGTATGAGGATCAGTTTTATACGCCAAAACAAGTCTGAAATTCTGTACTGTATAGTAGAGTTTAACACTGAGTTCTAACTCCAAGGCAAACATCTTTCATGTGCAAATAGGCAAAACATGCTCAGTTTGAATCTTTCCTTTTTTTTACTAAGATAAACATTTGTACAGAGTCTCCAGGAATGACGTAAAAGATTTCAGCACAGTAGTTACTCTATGAAATATTTTTATTTTGTAAACTTTAGTGTTGTACAGAGTCGAGGGCATGAAATTTCTTGGAAACATACAAACATAAAAACAAAATATGATTATGTCGCCTACCACTCTACCTCAACGACCCAGCTAGCATGCTAGAATAAGATTCGATCTCAAAGAAACATGCATA